GTTTAATTTTAAATTATTACTTAGACTGAGGAAAAGATGGACAGGGAAAAGACATGTTGGAGGAACCTAGAGAAAGGTGTGACTTAGGTCATAAAAAGTTAAGTTGACTTTATTTTACTATACTTATATATTCTAAATGATATGTTCTATTGAAGGATATTATATCAACATCAGTGCCTTACTGGTGTATATTTGAATTAAAAATAGTAATAATATTGATTATTGATAATATTGATTCAATCCCAATTATTATAAATTGTCTTAAATGAAAAGCCTTCTTTTATCTTCCAAGACACATGGCAAGTATTCTTCAGTAGGATATTCCATCCATATACACAGAAGTTAGGTTCAACACACTGAGTAAATCCAAAGTGCAATTTGTCTTGGTTTAGTATATATATGTACCCATGTACCCACACAATTTTAGAAAACATTAAGAATATCTTGGAACACTGTGTGAACCCTGCCACAGTTGTTTCAGATTATTTATCTGTTCAAAGTTAAAAAGCAGCCAAATATTCAGTTCACTGAAAATGAATGTGTTCTTGTATAGTACAGGTAGTCCTTGACTTATGCCCCCAATTGGAACTAGTGAATCATGCCCAATTTTATAACCTTTTTTGCCATAGTCGTTAAGCAAAAAAAACCACACAGCCATTAAGTGAATCCAGCTTTCTTCCTTTAACTTTGTCAGAAGACAGTTGGAAAGGTTAGAAATGGTGATCACATGACCCCAGGACACTGCAACTATCATAAATACATGCTGATTGCTGAGTGCCCAATTTTTTTATCATGTGACCATGAAGATGCTGCAATAGTCATAAGTGCAAGGAGTGGTCATAAGAACGTGCTGCTGAATGGTTACTAAATGAATGGTTGTAATTCAGAGACTATCTTTACATACCGGTAGCTAAGCACAAGGGTTTCAAAGAAGAAAAAAAGCGAAACAGAGATTGTAAAAGACAAAATTAATTATCCATGTATCTCCTTTTTAATAGCACTGCCAAACAAAGGTTCTTGCATTTTCACTTTTATGGCCATTTGTATTCTAGTGAAGAACTCTGAGCAATAAGGACATGAGGAAATACAGCTATGGTTAAATACCATGCCAAATGTTAATTGAATTAAATGAACCATCACGTAGGGCTGTGTGTGTCCATCCTTCAAAAAAAAGATATGAAATATGCAGCCTCTTACTCCAGCCAAACGTGCATGAATACTGCAGAAGCGTCCCCCAGTTTGTCTTGTGTGTGCCTGTGTGTGGATGCACAGGGAACCACTTTACTTTACACATATAGAGACAGCCAGGAGCAACTTCCGCATGAACCTTCAAAAAGATGTGATTTGAAATGAGGTGCTTCTACATTTCAATGAATTTGCATAGGCATACTAAAACAAAATATAATTATTTTTAGGTTTTACTATTTCTTCCACAGCATCAGTGAGCTCCGTGAGATAAAACAATGGATGCCAGTTTTTCAGACACTCATCCCTATTAGGTAGGTAATTTCCACTCTGGCTCCAAGCCTAAAAGCAATTGCTATTAACTGCTTTAAGCAATCATTATATCACTAGCTGTGATGAGCCTGCACATTGCCTAATTGTACATTGCCTAACTGTACATTACCTAATTGTTATTCTCTGAACCTGTAAGTTTACATGGAATGAGACAAGTGAGACAGGGACAGGTTTATCTTCTGCCTCATCATATCTTTCCATTTTGAACCTCCCTGCATGTCCAGAATTAAGAAAACTCTTCAGGAAGAAACAAAAATTCCAGCATAAAAAAATGGCAGGATGAATTATTGATTCTTTCTGTGCCTCCTTTCCAATAGTACATCTACAACCATTACAAGTAGGAGGAGGAAAATAAATTATCTAATTTTTGTTCTTAATTAGGGATGCTGATGAAAATCTGGGCAGAATTTGAATCCGTGGCATCCCAGCATGTTCCATCACTCAATAATCCAGTTTTTATTTTTCCCTCTTTGGAGTGTTAGAAAGTTATGCTTCACTTCTCTTAAGATTGTTTCTGAGAATAATTGCATATATTTGTTTAAAGAAACCTAAAAATATAAAAATCTGTTTAACAATCTTCTAAAAACAAGAGTGGAACCTAATCACAGCTCCCAAAGGAGCATGTTTCATAGCCTAGGAATGGAACAGGAGAAGCCCATCTGCCTTCATTTGGTGGTTTCCTTCCAGTAACTAGACTCACTGGAACTTTTCCAAAACCAATATTCCCCTGTGGAGCCCTTGGTGCTCTTTCAATTTGGTTATTTGCTTACAGGTATTTCGTTACCCAGCTAGGTAACATCATCAGTGCAAATGAGTGTAGGGTTTGCTCCCTGTTCATTTATAGTACCTGGTATACACCCTGAGCTACATGCAGTATATTCTCTTCTATTAAAACCAATCACCTCCTTCTTTTTATACCTTTCACATAATCTTGTTTCCATTGTTCTAGGCAGCAACCAGATATGTCAAACGATAATTTTCAAAAGAGAGTGGAAGATAATGAGCCATCAAACATAAAGCAAAAAAAAAAAAAAAATCACCAAATTTCTGTCAGATTACCATTTTTCCAGTGTCATTTTTATCACTAGTTCATCAGAATTGATAGCTGCATGGCATTCATCCCAGGATTGTTCTAAGATCAAAGTCCACTGAAACCTCCCCTCAACTAGTAAGGCTTAGTAAGCAAGGATAATATATGACTATATTAAAAATTAAGTGTGAGAGAACTGGCTCAACCACTTGTTAGCAGAAAGATGACTCCTCTTCTCCCCTACTATATGCAAAAACTGATGGAGCTACAACTTGTCTCTTACAACTTGTGCTATATGTATGAGAAAGCAGTAAATTGTTTAAGATGTTCTGTTGGCTCTGCCTTCAATAGAAGAAAATCGGTCTAAAAGTCTCAAGTATACTAACAGAGTACAACAGCTGACCAAAACCATCTGTTAGATGAGGAGTACAAATATGGCCTGCCAATTTTCCTTCTGTGGCCATCACAGGATTGGCAGAGCCAAAATTTGGAATCAGTGTTGGCTCTTATGGGATGGAAGGAATATCACAGGACAAAATGGTTGCCTAAAGCATTGCAGACAGGTAAGGCACCATTTCATCCTTTATACCTCTTGCTATTTCTCCCAAAATGGGCCACAACCCAAACCATTATTGAACGGGACTTTGGCACTTTTATCAAAGCCTAACTGATATAGGCAGTATGCTGTAATCTAATGGCGTTGGCTGCCTCTTATTTTATGAGAAAAACTGCCATGTCATAAAATAACTATTGCAAGTGTACAAAAAGACATAGAGAGCCAAGAAAATACGTTGTACTATAGCAAAAATGGATTAAATGGTCTACAAAATCAAGAGCCACCAAGTAGATGTGGTTGCTATGCCAAACACATTCATATATTAGTCACTGCAATCATCTGTTCTCTACACGCATACACATATTTGAAAGTGTATGAGCTTGCACAATAATATGCTTCATTAAGCTTTAAACTGTATACCACCAATGAATGTGGAACATATAATTACACTTCTTGTTAAATGAGCATCTAATTAGACTAGAGTTGTTGGCATCTAATGCTATATAGAGCCAGATGGCCAAAGTATCAAAGCTTGGAAGCTTTGTTTGATACTGCTTATCTAATAGTTAAACAAATATTGACTTTGCTGATTTGGCTAGTGGAACCAAAAATTAGAATAGGTGAAATAATGAAAAAAAATGCACCTGAAACACTTCAGGATTTCATACTATAAAGTAATATTAAACATGATAGATTAGAACAATCTGGTGAGCCTAACACTGAACACTGTCCTGAAATATCTAGTCATTTATTTTTCTATCGTCTCAACATTTTTATAGTTCTTTATTTTCCAGTGCAAATTCCAGTGCAAGTTCTCAACACTCCCCATACTAATTTATTCTTCACCATATACACATCCATCATGATGTTTTCTAGGAAATGAGCGCAGATGATTTTTTAATCTGACTGAATATAAATTAATTCCTATTAAATATTTGCATGCCTATAAAATCATAATTTAAAAAAGACACCCAAAGGTGACAAGTGTTTCTTTATATATATATTCGTAACCGCAGAATTTCTCTTCTGTGTTGACAAATAATGAACCAGCTGGGGTTATGATGAACAGCAGTATTTATTATTTATTTCTATCATGTTTTCTTGCCCTGCTTGATAATCGCCAGCACTGAAAACACTGTTGTGACCCTTTCAAACAAACAAACAAAAAAAAAAGGGGGGGGAAGGGAGGGCAGAGTATTGTGATAAATCTCTTAAGTCTATCAGGTCCTCTTTATAGTTGGCATAATTTGCGCACCTTCCTAAACTGCCATTTACAGACGGGAAGAGATTTTCATGTTTTGGAGACCACCAGCTTTCTAACAACAACATCTCTCTATCTTCTCAATCCTATGTCTGTTGTTTCGGCTGATCATTTGGGGCCATTCTGAAGAACCCGAAAACGAGCTCCCTGCTTGGAAAATGGATCGGATTAAACCCAATTTCATATTCTCTCTCCCCCCCCCACCTTCTTCACAGGTGTTACGTAAGTTATGTGAATCACGACAACCACCCGCCCTTCCGCTTTCTTCTTCTTCTTCTTCTTCGTCTTCGCCTTCTATCCCGAGGTTTCTACAACCGCCGGGGTTTTCATGCCAACGGGGCGGCAGGTGGGGGGGGGCAGGTAAAAATATCGCTTCCACAGCCTTGTCCTCAAACTTCTCTCTCGGTCCCAAGTGCGGCTCCCAGCCTCCGTCGACCAGCCGGCCGAAGTGCCACCTTTCTTCCTTCGTAGCCCTTCAGCTCCGCATGAGGCGCGCCACGCGGGAACCCTCGCCGCCCCGAACGCATCCTTCGGCCCCCCCCCGCGCCCCCCCCCCACGTGCCAGAGAAGGCAGCGGGAGCGAGCCAGGAGCCCTCGCGCTGCCCTTCCCTCCTTTCGCCCTTTCCCAGGCTCACCTTCCCGCTCTCCTCTACACCCAACAGGTGGCTTTGCAGGATGACCATCGGCGAGGTGCAGGTGGAGTGGACGAAGGTCCCCTTGAAAATATGCGCGAGCGGCGCGGCCCGCGGGGGGTCCATGGCGCGCGCCTCTTGGCGGGACGGGCGCAGGTGGCCGACGGTGGGGCGTGGGGGGGGTGCAAAAAGGCGGGGAGGGGAGAACGGTGCAGCCCGCCGTTGAGGACGGAGGCTGCGATTGCCGGAGCTCCCAGCAGTTGGTCCCGGCGTGTCTGGAGCAGCGCCCACAGCGCTGTCACCATCTCTCCTCCCCTATTTAAGGACTCTCCTCTTTGGGGGTGTGATTACAACCAACTCGGGTTGCTCCCTCAGCCCCATCCAAGGGGAGGCTTCTTTTGGCCCGCCTGCCGCCTTCTCCTCAGCCCGTCCTGAGGGCAGCAAAAGTGCGACCGGCTGAGAGAAATTGATACAAAACAATCCAAGACTCATCCTGGCAAAGGAGATGGAAGCGGGCAAGCGCAGCCGCCCTGCAGCACGTCCTTGCCCAGAAGGTGAAGAGGAGGTTGATGGCCAAAATTAGATTCAAAACAAAATACTCTGATTAGAGTAATAATCCTAATAATAATCTAATAAAAGTATCCTGAGTGGGTGGCTAGCGCTATATCTACTTCTGAGCTGATGAAGTGCAATTAGTGGCTTGCAAGGCAGTTTCTAGTGCAGTGTTTCTGAACCTTGGCAATTTTAAGGTAGGTGGACTTTAAATCCCAGAATTCCCTAGCCGGCCACACTAGAAATTCTGGGAATTGGTCCACACATCTTAAAATTGCCAAGATTGAGAAACACTGTTCTAGATCAGTTGAAGTCCACACATCTTAAAGTTGCCAAGGTTGAAAAACCCTAACTCTAGCAAATAGTTTCCACGGGCTGAGAAATCTTTGAAAATCCCTGATTTAGTCCGCACTTTACTAAAAAGTATTGTGAGAAGCCCTCAATTGACCAAAGCCAAGGTGAGTATTAGGTTTAATATTTGAGGACCCATTTAATGATGGCCAGAAGATGTGACTTGGAATTAGAAAGGAATAAACGATGAAGAGGATGAATTAGATAAAAGAAAGAAAATAATGTTGTATCTTAGTAAAATGAAGAGAAGAGGTGGTAGATCTGTTTGAAATTAGTCCAGTCTTTTGGAATGGGGATGATGAAAACATACAGGGGTGTAAAGGTATAGGTTTAATGATAAATAAATAGTTCTAAAATATATTTCAGAAAACAATGTCATCTGGGAAGTTACAGATGTACAGTATACAAACAGGACTTCATAGTTTGTACACATGCTACATTCCAGTCAGTGGTAGTAGTAGAACAAGGAATTGGGGTTTGGGGGGGGGGGGCAGGGGGGAATATGCAACATTAAGACTTAATTAATGATTTATCATGAGAGAAAAGATTCTGTTGGGTGTATGAATTCTCATATGAATATATGTGTGAGAATAATATGAGACACAGCTATTTTTGCGTTTGGAGATCCAAAATATAGGTGATGATGATTAGTGAGCATCAGCTTAGAAAACTTCTGTTTGGATTGTATGATTTAGACATGTTTGTGCCCACATGGGCCAGATCCACACTTTCTGCTTTACCCCACCTCCAATATGAGTGCAGTGATGAATGACATCATATTCATAGCTGACTCCCAGCCCATCACAAGTGCATCCATCAGTCATAATTTTGACATTCATCTTCAAAAGCACTGAGCCATCTCAAGCCCATCTGAATAGTTGTTCTTCCATTCCAATCTAATAACATCCTAGATCCAGTGCCCAGTATACCCAGGCCTGCCAATGGCTGGTTGCTGCTCTGTATTTCATCCTACTATATTTTACCTGATTAGTAACTTTATTTCTTTTTCTTCCAACTGACCCATTCTAGTGACCCATTCACTGGGTCCAAGTGAGATGTATTGGTTATTGCATTTTCCCCACCTTTGTTCCATTTTTAGACTTGCCAATGAGTAACCTTTTGGACAGCATGATTGAAGCATACTTTTCCTTCTTCCCCATCTTGTGTCCACTGTACTACTATAAAAGTAAGTACATATACAGGTACTAATTAAGCTACCAATTAAGCTATAATATTGCAATCAATGTAATAGATTCTTTGTTTCTATCAACCGGAATCATCACTTCTTCATTGCTGTAAAGTTTCTGTGGACCTAGGAAAGAAGGATTAACATATTCCCTTCAAATTAATTTTCGTTGCAACAAAGCAATGATGATACAAAACTGTATCACCTCTGTTACATAAGCTGCACTGGGTTCTAGTTTCCTTCTAAATACAATTAAATAATTTAAAGTCCTATATGATACAAAACCATGTTCTCTGTAGGACCGTCTTTCCCTAAGGACATCTATCCATCCCTGGTGGTATGGTGACACAATGGTTAGAATACACTATTGCAGGCAAACTTTGCCCACACCTGGAGTTCGAGGTTGATTCAACCTTCCATCCTTCCAAGGTCGGTAAAATGAGGAACCAGATTGTTGGGGAAAATATGCTGACACTGTAAAGCAGTCAAAACGATAGTGGTTTACAATGCTATAAAGCTCTATGAAGCAGTATATAAGTCTAAATGCTATTGCTATCCTACCAGGTTAGATAGGGTGGGCATTGTTACCTTATGGAAGCGTGCGTTTCCTGAGGCATCCTCTGTCCTGTGGAATACTCTTTTCCCAGACATTTGGCAGACTGCTACCATCCTAGTCTTCTGAAAAGCAGTGAGTTGACTGCATGTCAAAAGTTCAATTTGGCACTGCATTTTTATTTTTAATGTGTTTGGTGTTTATAGTTTTAATCTGGTTTTTATATCATTTTAAGTCTTGATTTGGAGCTGCCCAGAGTTTGGTATAGGTTTGGTATAAGATGGGCAGCTATATAAATGTTATAAATGTAATTAATAAATGTAATTAATTAATTAACTAATTAACAAGTAATTAAATAAATAAATGTATCTGCATTAGTAGATATTCCACATAGTCGGATCAATATCTGTCTTTGATATTGTCTTTGGAGTAACAATTAGATGGATGCATTTGTAATAAGGGATGGTATTTTTTTTTAAAAAAAATACAGAATATACAGAATAACAGAGTTGGAAGGGACCTTGTAGGTCATCTGGTTCAACCCCCTCCCTTTGGCGTTTGACCCTCTACCATTTCTGACAAGTGGCTGTCCAGTCTCTTCTTGAAAGCTTCTAGTGATGAAGCTCCCACAACTTCTGAAGGCAAGCTGTTCCATTGGTTGATTGTTCTCACTGTCAGAAAATTTCTCCTTATTTCTAGATTGAATTTCTCCTTGGTCAGTTTCCATGCATCGTTCCTTGTCTGGCCTTCAAGTGCTTTGAAAAATAGATTGTCCCCCTCCTCTCTGTAACAGCCCGCCAATATTGGAACACTGCTATCATGTCACCCCTGGTCCTTCTCTTCACTAGACTACCCATGCCCAGTTCTTGCAACCATTCTTTATATGTTTTAGCCTCCAGGGCCCTAATCATCTTTGTTGCTCTTCTCTGCACTCTTTCTAGACTAGAGTCTCAACATCTTTTTTATAGTGTGGTGACCAAAACTGCATGCAGTATTCTAGGTGTGGTCTTACTAAGGCTTCATAGAGGGGTATTAGTACCTCACGTGATCTTCATTCAATCCCTCTGTTAATGCAATTTAGGATTGGTTTTTTGGCTGCTGCCGCACACTACCATACATAGCATTTATTGACTTTATTAGCTTTCAATCTATGTAGGCTTAAGTGCTGGTTTTGACAGTTCTTCACTCTTTGGAGTATTGGTTGCCTTACTGGTGATACAACATTTAATGAAATAACACATTCCCCTTGATTTTACTAAATGTAATTAGCTGACTGCCTATGTAGGTAGCAGCACAGGTGATCTTCAATGCTTTTTAAAAAGCTAAGTGGGATTGTTCTTGATTAGTTGCCAAGAAAATTACATAGATTTTAGGACGTGTCAATTTTTTCAACTTTCAATTTCCAAACATTAGGGGTGCTCAAAAGTTGTAACATGCCTTGGGGATTGTAAAGATATTTTGGTTACTTTAATATAATTTAGATGTGCTTGGTAAGTAACTGTCTAAATATCACAACTTTTTAACATTTTGTTTGTTTCATAGATAAATCCTTTTGGATTTTCGTCTTAAGCTCATTTAAGTTCTGACACGTAAAGATCCCAGTTTATAACTCTACCTCGTAAAATACCCAGGAAATTCTGATCTTTTTATGTACAGTTGTTATTAGATCAATACCAGTTAGTGTTCTTGAATGTAGCTAAATTTTGCTATACTGTTTATAAAAGTAGATATGCCTTGATTGTCCACCAATGAAACCCACTACCAGTTGTAATGTTCTTACCCTGGTTTGCTTTATTTTATTTTTAATGTGGGATTTATTTATTTATAAAAATTTATCAGACTCCCATCTTATAACAAAGTAATTCTGGGTAGCTTATAATCATAAATGGTTTGTGACCATAATAACATTTTCCCCTTTAATTTTTTTTTTTCCTTGATCTGGTGCCTATTTGCTTTCGGATCCAATTCAAAGTGTTGATGAATGCTTATAAATTCCTACTGTCTTATATTTTTTTGAACCACAAAAATAAGCGCTTAGTTTTATTTTTGGGGAGGTCTTAATATTTGGGGGCATGTGGAGCAGGACGGGGCTCCACTTGCCATCTTACCTGATATCCAGCTCTGTCTCCCTAACCCTAACCAGAGGAAATGGCGGGGACCGGCTGCACATGCAGTTAAATATTTTCAGGGAGGGCTTATTTTTGTGTGGGGGCTTATTTTAGCACTCAAAAGCCTGATTGGGATTATTATCAGGGGATGTCTTATTTTCAGGGAAACAGGGTATTTGACTTGATTCTTGTCAAGCCCCATCCAGATGGCAAAATCAAGGAAGCAAAAATGACATGAACGTCAGGAAGATATCTTTAATGCTAGTATAGGGTGTACAGAAACTTGAAAACTGTAAGAACTAATTCCCACACTTCTATTATATAATAATAGAATGTCTGACAGTGTTATTTATTTTGATTTCATGCTTTTATGGAAATGTTAACCTAACACTTAATTGCTGAAAATGCCAACAATTTCTTTGACTGCACTGCAGAGTGTGTGAGAGAGGGATGATGCTACACAGACAGATGGACAGATAAACAGCTTAATCCTGATTCCTCTCTTAAACAAAGATTCCTCTCTTAAACAAAAAGCATATAAAAGTTTAAAAATATAATGTAACATCAAAATCAGTTTATCAATATAAATGACTGTAAAAGGAATGATAGCATTGTCAGTGTTCAAATGTTATTATGTCTTTTGTTATTCTATATTGCTATTGGATTTACTAAAGGACAGTGTTTTTCAGCCTTGGTGACTTTCAGATGTGTGGACTTCAACTCTCAGAATTCCCCAG